ATCAGTTTTTAGTTTATCAACAAACTTTAGCTTGGTTGTTGGTAACTTTAAATGTGAGATCCTTGTTCAATGACTAACCAGTGGAATTTCTACTGGAAAAACTGAATTGTATCAATGTTAACATTCTTTGTATAAGAGAAATCAAAGGATTTGTTGCTGCTGACGTTTAGTTGTTTTCAGTTGTGTCTGACTTTTTGTGACCCCTTTTGGGGTTTTCTTAGCAAAGAAACTGGAGTGATTTGCCATTGCCTTCTCCAAATCATTTTACAGATAAGGAAACCGAGGCAAAGAGGGTTAAGCAACTTGCCCAAAGTCACAAAGCTAGTAAGTGTCTGAAGCCAGATTGGAGCTCAGGTCTTCCTGACTCCAGACCTGGCACTCCATCTACTGTGCCACCTACCTATAACTATACTGTAGCTAAATAGAAGGACAGCTCACAGGTTCTTCTTGGGGAGGTGAATTAAAAAAAACTAAGTTGCTTTTAAAATGCACCAAAGATAAAACCAATTTAACATCATCAGCACATTGTAGGGCTCATGATAAATACTGGTAAAAAGATTATCATGAAAATAAAATAATGCAGTCTGTGGACCAACATTGGTTCCATGGATGAAGAGGTTAAATTGAACGAGGAACTGGATAAGGCCCTTCAAATAAAATCAACATATACTTTGATACTTCGTGATTTCAATGCAAACGTGGGGACAGGTAAGGATAACAAAAAATACAGTATACTGGAAAAAAAACAATCAGGAATGAGAGAAACCAAAGACTTGTAGACTACACAGAAGCCTCAATATATCATCATCAATATCATCAATACTTTGAGAAAAGAATCGAGTATAGGACATGGCAAGCACCAAATAACATTAGAAAATGAAACTGATTTTTTTTTTTAAAGGAAATGACTAGTTACTGATGTACAAGTCATTTCTGATTCAGTGGTACAGTCAGACTACCAACTTGTTAGAACAATCTTTTGTACGTCTTTTAAAAATCTAAGTTGGTCAATGAGTGTCTTGAACAAGATCCATCTTTTTAGACATTTCCTCCCCTTTTTCTTCTTATCAGAATTTTTCACTGTGTACACAAAATTTTATTCTCAAGAGCATCCCATTTGTCCTGGACTGAGGTCTCTAGAAGTAGGCTCATAGGAGTCTACCTATTCTTTCAAAAAACAAAACAAAAAAAAAACAAAACACTACAGAAACTGTTCTCCTAAAGTCCAGATTTTATGTTAGTTTATGCCTGGCTTTCATCTCCTCTCTATCAAAGTCTAAGATTAGTCACTTACCCACAAGATAATCATCAGTCCTCCCTCCCTCCCTCCCTCCCCCACCTTTACTTCCAGAGTGAGGGAGCAAGAAGGCAAGCCTTTAACCCACAAAAATTCACATCACAGTCATGGTTCTCTAACTTATCTTTCCTCCATTTGTTGTCACAAAATAATTGGTTAACTATTACATTTAAAATGTGATTCAGAAAAACACTGACCTCTTAGTCACATTTCCCCACTATTAAGTTTGTAGTTACATCACTACTTTCCTTTGACTCCCCAATCCTTTTCATTCTAATTAGTCATCTCATTCATACCCTCTATGCTTTCCCACGGTTTTCATACTTTTTCTTATTTGACTAGAAAATTAGAGTAAAACCAGAAAAACCAGGAGACCAAAGCAAAAGAAAAAAGAAAAGGAATTTTCAAACATAGCTATCACAAAGCCTAACAACATTACTAATCTGAAGAGTAATGAATCCATACTCATGCTCTGAGCCTACAGAGTTAATTTAACAATTACTAAGATTACTAACTTAATAAGTTTAGTTATCAAGCTTTCCCTGGTAACCTTTAGTTCTTCCTTAGGTTAAAGGCAAACACAATCAGAAACATCAAGACAGGTTGCTAAGAGCAACAAGTGAAAATGGACAGAAGGATCCCACTGGCACTTCAAACCCAATATGTCTAAAATCAAGTTCATCACCTTTCCCCAAACCTCCTCTTCAACCCAACATCAATATTTCTCTCAACAGTATCTACCATCACCCCATTTGCCCATGTTCAAATTCTTGATATTATTTGACATTTGATTATTTGTACTATTTTTTTTACTCTTCCCTCTTCCTCATTTCTCATATCCTCATCAAATATAGTCTATTTTATCTTCTCAAAATCTCCAGTATCTATCCCCTTCCCCTCTTACCTCTACCACTAGTGAGGCACAGGTTTCCAGTCTTATCTCATGCTACTCTTCTCTACCTTCTCTCTAACTCCAGTCAAACTGGAGAATAGATTTTCCGTCCCCCATATGCACCCTGTGCTTTCCCACTTCACTGTTTCTGCCATATTGTATCTTCGGCCCGTAATGATCATGTCCTTTCTCCTCTCACGTACTGGATTTCTACCTGTCCTTTTAAGACTAATGCAAATATCACTTTGAACAAGCTCCACGAAAGATAACATTCAACAATGAACTCTTCCCCACTCTGTGGAATTCACATAATGTTGAATCATTTTATTATAATAAAATGCTTAAACTCATCCAGATATACCTTTATGAAGACTGCAAATTTCAACACACTATTAAATCAGAAGCTTTTAACTACCTAGGAAAAATTACTATCTAAAGAAATGCGTATTATGTATGAAAATTATCCCAGAGTTTCAAATACTAGTTTAATCCTCAGTTTTTTATCACTTCAAATTTGACCGATTTGCTTATCTGACAGTGCCAAAAAAGCAACTATATTTCATTTTTCATATCTCAAAGAATGGGGATTAGGAATATCCTAAGGGCAAAAAAAGAATCTACAAGTGGGAAACTAACCTTTTTTTTGGCCAATTTCACCACTTTTGCTGTTTATGGTAACTTATCATATTTCTGTCAGTTCAACTATTTCATCTTCACTTTATGTAAATGATTTGTCAGAATTTCACTTTACCAATGTAGAATCACCATTTAATGGCAAAATAGAATAATTGCAATATGTAAAGTGGCTTGTTTAAAAAAATCATTGTCTTCAATTACAATTTTCAAAAAAAAGAAGAAACAGGCTGTAGGTTATGCATGCTGCTTTTCTTTCGCTCCCATTTAATCAAGAAGATAAATACCCAGGGTTACATTAAAAATTTTCTAGTAATAGTCTAAAAAACTAAAATAGTTACCTTTGGTAAATCCATAAAGCTTGGTCGAGCAGTAGAAATAAGTCCAAGTGTTTTTAAAGAGCAATTTACAAGTTGAGATAAAATATCACAAGCTGCTTCAGCTGATTCCTTGCTGCTGTCCACCTAAAGGAAATAATTATTTTAGTACACTTTACATTTGCAAAAGAAGTAAATATGATTAACATTTTGGAACAATATACATTAAAGAATTAGACTCTATTCTTAGAACCTTCTGCCTATATATAAAACTTTAGATTTACCAACAAAGTCCCACTGAAATATTAAAAGGGCAACTGTAAAAACTATTGGTTTCTCAGAATGTTGAGACATACTTTATGGTTGAACAATTCAACATTAAATTGATTTATTCTTATGTTATACAATGTAATGAAACAGCAACAACCACAAAAAATAAGATGCTGGCTTTGAAAGCAATCAGTTTGTTCTGAATATATATTTAAACATTTCCATGCTTCTCTATGGTACACATTTCTGTGGTTCCCAAGGAACTGAAATTAAATCAGTATTTTCTGTGAAAGTCAAGGTGACATACAAGGTTAGGAATTAATTACTGAATTTGTACTCATACTGTCCCTGAATAGAATAAGGGTCTCGAAGGAAGTTGATCATGGAGTCAGATCTCCTCAGAAGACAGCTGCTTGTGACCAATCTCCTTATGATCATTTCTAGTGGAGAAGACAATATATAGCCAAAAGTCTCCATAGTTAACGGTTGGGCTTTAGAGAATCAGTAGCAGCTTCCCACAAAAAGACTACACCTGTGCTGGCTTTCTTCCAGTGACAGTCATTAAATATAAATCAACTTAAAAACAAAAGAACTATCTACTGTTATCACCAGCAGCTTTACCAGGGAATCTAAGACATTCAGGTGGTTCCAATGCCTATTTAAATTGGAGCCAATAAAGACACAGGGTCTGAGTCAGAAACAAGGGACTGCATGAAACCAGTCTTTGGAGGACAAAATATCCAGGCACTGGGACATTTAGGGTAACAACAGAAGCAACAATAACAGTCTCTTGTCCCAAGACCTTACTTTTCCCCAAAATTTCTACCAACACAATCTTGGAGCTTCTGCAGAGGTAGGGGAAAAGGCAAGAAATTGGAGAAAGAGCTTCCAAGGCCCTCTGCTAAAACTGGAAGTAAAGGGGCAGCTAGGTGGCGCAGTGGATAGAACACCAGCCCTGAAGTCAGGAGGACCTCAATTCAAATCTGACCTCAGACCAAAACACTTGACACTTACTATGTGACTCTGGGCGAGTCGCTTAACCCCAACTGCCTTAAAAAAAAACCTGGAAGCAAAAGTCAGAGACAAAGTCTGGAGGATCATGTTTTCCATGCAATTTTCTTGCCCCCACTTCTCATTCTGTGTTCTGAAGCATCTCTCCTCTTCCAAGAGTCCAGTGAGGTTATTGCTATCTTTTCCCATAGCTACTCCCCAAATCCCATTCCATCATCCCTTTTTTACTGCCCCTTCCTTTCCTTTGACCACTTTTCCTATTTACTTGATTTGCATTCCTTTCTGCCTGTCCACTTTTCCTCATTAGGATTCATGGGCTTAAGAGAACTGTAAGGGAATCTTGTGGGAAAACTATCCTAAGACTCTCACAGGTATCTACATTTTTAGCAGTTGTCAAGTGGACAGGATTAGAGGAAACAGAAAGTAACTAGGATTCTTAAAAACTCTTGTTTTCAGATGACAATAATAATAGCACAAATGACACAGGGCTTTATGGTTTTGAAAGCATTTCCCTCACTTTAAGGAAGGCAGTGTATTATCATCTTCCCCATTTTACAAATGAGGAAAGTATTTCTCAAAGAGTGCCCAAAGTCAAATACCTAGATTCAAAACCAGGTCTGCTAACTCAAGTCCAGTGTTCTTTCTGTCAAGTTTTAAAATTAAAAATCAAAGTTTGGAAAAAATTAAAAGGGTTCTTCTGGAGCTTATTCTTGTATGTAGGTCAATGCAGCTCTACAATTCAATGCTTGTTTTGTTTTTTTTTTAATAAAAATCAAATAGCCTTTTATTATTGGTACCATTAAGACTAGGCATTTAGAAATAATTTATAAATATATTACGACAAAGGTACCAAAATTTTGTTTAACGTGAAGGGTCCCACTACTACAAAAAGTATGAAAACCAATCTAGAGTGTTTAATGTAAATACTACTATAAGAAGCAGAGAAAAAAACAATATACTTCACGCCTAACCCTATCGACATCCACATAAACAAAATTAAGAACTTGTGAATATCTCATTAATTTTTTTATTCAATCTCAGCCAACTTTCAAAAATAAAAGACCCTAAATTTAATTACCACAAATATTAAGGAAATATTTTCCAAAAGGTTTCTTGGAATTAGATGTAACAGAATCCACAGAATAATTTTCCGTCTCCCCATTATTTCTCCACTCCTAACCTACCATCTACCAAAAAAAAAAAGCATCACTATTTTTAACAGTAACAATTTAAACTATATTACCTTGAAACTGACATACTGTAGATGGTTTGAATGTTTTTTAATAATCTGCTTTATCAGCTCTGGATGTGTAGCTTTCAAATAAGATGTAGCTGGTTGGTTAAGTTCAAACTCAAAACACCTCCACAAGTCAGGCATATGAAATACCTGATTCCAGTTTCGACAAACTTGTGATGCATGAGCCCGATCAAGAAGGGGTAAATATTTAAATATTTGTAGAATAATGTCCTGAAGGAGATTACCCCAATCACATGTTTGAGAATTCTCATTGGTAGTCCTCCGTTTCTTGGATTCTTCTCTACCGTCCTCCTCTGAAGAAGTTTTTGTTACCTCTCTCTCTTTCCCACCTCGCTTCATCCTATTGAGAAAAATTAAATGTTTCTTCAGTCCTGTGTAACCTTTAGACAGAAATCCAAATTTTATACTCTTCTTTCAAAATCATTTCCACTAAAATACATATGAGGGAAGATTATGTACAATAATACAAAAGAACTAAAATGGTACAACAAAATCATCTTTTAATGGAGACCAGCTGCAGTTCAACAAAAGTCCTGGTACAACTTTTTTGAATAGGTAATTTAACACATTTGGAAAAAAGTTTGTATAAATTTTCAAATCAGAGTTGTTGGATATTTTAAAGTAATAATTTACAACTGACATAGGTAACTGAGGATCAATGAACGTGAAAACAGGGAATTTCTAGTAATATTTTCTAGAGTCCTTTGAAATGTCATCAGGAGATTCTTGGTCTCCCAGAACCATTCCAAACCATTCTTTTAAATCTTAGTCTTGAGCTTGATCCTTTAAAGGTTAGATTTTTTCCCCCCTTTTGGGATCTTTGATTCCCTTGCAGACCCTTCATATCCCAATAGCCTCAAGAAATCATTTACTGATGAAAAATTCAGCATCCCTTTTTAAACCAAATACATATGTAGCCTGTAGTTCATTTCCTTCTCGGGCCATATATTTTCTTTGCTCAATATAAAAAAATTTATCCATGGGGCAGCTAGGTGGCACAGTGGATAGAGCACCAGCCCTGAAGTCAGGAGGACCTGAGTTCAAATGTGGCCTCAGACACTTGGGCAAGTGTGACCTTGGGCAAGTCACTTAACCCCATTGCCTAGCAAAAAAAATTAATAAATAAAAATAAAAAAATTTATCCATGCTACATATTAGTTCAGGTTAACTACTATTCTTTTTCTTTATTCTGAACTTAAGAAACACCAAATAAGCATTTTGAAATACAAAGCAGAAGACAAAAAGAAAAAGGATTATACATTAAAACTATTTCTATGAAGAACTTGTTTTTCCTTTTAATTTAAAAATAGTCAAAATATAACTCTGAAAGCTGTCTTGCTTGTCTATGTTTCTATATGGTCTTTCTTCTGTTCTCTTCAATGTCTTTTAAAAATATGCTTTAATTACTTCTTTTCTATTCTTTTTTGCAACCCTATTGCTACTCTCTCCCTCCTACCCCCCAAATTGAGAGAAAAGGAGATTTCAAAACAGGTGAAGACTGGGGAGGGGAAATAAAATAAAAACAAATCCCCTGTTAACATATGCATCTGATTACAATTCCTTTTCTTCTTTGCAACTTCTATCCATTACACCTGTTTCTACCTATCTTGGGCACAAGACAAGTATATAATCCAGGGCTGGGGAACCTGTGGCTTCAAGGCCACATGTGGTTTTCTAGGTCCTTGGATGCAGCCTTCTGACTGAATCTAAGTTTTACAGAACAAATCCTTTTATTAAGAGGATTTTGTCTAGATGCAGTCAAAGGGCCTCACTTGAGGACCTAGCAAGCCACATGAGTCTCCACCCCTGGATCTCTCTTCCATATGACAAATCTTCCAATACTTGAAAATGGCTTGTCCCCCAATAATCTTCTCTTATCCTAAGTTACCTGGGCACCTAATCCAACCTCCTCATTTTATAGTGCAGGAAACTGAGACCAAGGAAAGATAAATGATTTATTCAAGGTCACACAGGCAGCCAGCATCACAGCAGGATTTGAACCCAGGTCCTCTGATTGTAGAGCCAGCCTTCTTTCCACTATATTGCACTGCCAGGTCCTTTAACCAATCCACATATGGTCTCGAGGTCCTTTGCCATCCTCTATGTCCTTTCCTGGACAAGTTATTAGTGTCTAAATTGTCACTAACAAGTGACACAAAGAATATAATATCTCATATGTGATCTGACCACAGCAGAACCCAAGATTCCACTGGCTTTCCAGTGAAGTCACAATATGGACTCGTAATGAGTTTGCAATCCACTAAAACTCCCACATCATTTTCACACAAACTGCTATGTAATCATACCTGACTCATCCTGTACTTGTGAAATTGAATTTTTTTAACCCGAGTGTAATATTTTATTTATTTGGGGCGGGGGGGAGGTAGTGAGGAGAGTATCCAGATCCTCCTGATTTCATTGGTGAAACTCTGTTGGTCAAAAACTTCCTTCTAGTAACACTGCATATCAGTAACTGTTCTGCAATTTATATTCTTAAGAGAATTCCCTAGGGTATCAAGAAGTTAGAATACTTGCCCAGGGTCATACAACCAGTATGTTAAAAACATGACTTAAAACCCAGGTTGCCCTGACTTTGGGGGCAGCTTTATTTACACTATACTACAACGCTTTCCAAGGCTTCTCATTTTTCTTTATTAAGTTATATCTTATTAGATTCAACCCAATGTTCTGGCTTATCAAGACCTTTCTGAATACTATCGTCCAAGGCGACAGTTATACTTGTCATCTTTGTGTCACAATGAAATGGGAGACCATGGATAGTGGAGTGGTAAGACTAAGTAGATAATGATTAGAATACAAGGGAGATAGAAATGATTTTCACTCCTTGGATTTTTTTTGTCTTCTGACTTTTATTCTTCTTTCTATGTCACAGCTACTCTGTATGGTATCTAGCTTTATACCTATACTTTGGGCAATTTTCTCCTTCCTCATTCCATTTTGAACACTTCTTGATAAGATTTCAAGACCAAGAAATAAATTCTCACTCTAGCTCTTGTTAGGTGGCAAGGAACTTTTTATTCTTACATTTTAAGCCATGTTCAAAAACCCAAATTCCACTTGGACATCTAACCACTTTTTGGGTGTCTGACATTCCTAACCAGTTGTTCATTTCCCAAACCAGTCTTTCTCTTCTGAAACCCTTGTTTTCAATTGGCAGGGATAATTATTTTTAAACTACCTGTGCTCCTAAGGTCTTCAGTTTCTTGCTCAAGACTTCATGATTCTTAGTACTGTTTCCTAATTCCTTCTGGCAATATCATTTGTGCATGTGAAATCACAAGAAATAAGTAGCAGCCATCAAGCTTCATAAGTCTTTAAGAGGTTCTCTGTCACATCCTGGTTACATTCTCAGAAGACATCAGACTTTAGGATAGTTATCAGGTCAACAAATTGTAGCCTCAGAATCCCTTATGAAGAGTCACCAACTACTACTACTACTTCTCTTCTTCCACTGACCCTTACTGGATGATCTCTCACCTGCCAGTACCTGTGGATTCACATCATCATTCCTTGAAGAACAAGCAGATTCTTCTTCCTCCTCAGAGCATCCTGATGCTTCTTCCTCAGAAATTCCTTATCTTTTCATGAAGATAAAATGGATCAAGTAGCCCAATGGGTCTTTTCTCCTTTTTTTTTTTTCTTAAATAGTTCTGACCAAAAAAATTTAAGAACTATTGCCATCAAGCACCACTTACAAGATTACTCTCTTCTATGTGTAAAAGCAGATAGTTTTAAAAAAGTGAATTATGCAAGGTAGAAAAAAAAGCAACAAGGTCACGTATCAACTGCCCAATTTTTAAAGGAAGACAACAGAGGCTGGAGAATACCCCTATTAAAAGGCAGGAGAAAAGAGATATAAATGGAGAGCAATAGGGGAATTCCCTTCAACTCTGGGACACAAGTGGATTTCCTCTATAAATCAAACAGATAGCAAAAACATCTAGGATATAACTGTTGTAAATCATTGCTTGGGTCCATTATGGCCAAGTTTTACTTATTTTTGCATGTTGAGCTTGGTAACTGGGTTGCATTTTAACAACTAGCATCATTGAAGAAAACTTTCACCAAAGAAACATGATTTGCTGTCACAGGGAAAAGGGAAAGCAAGATGACTAACAGATTCACAAGAAAGAAAATGTTTCAGACCCTGAAAACCATGGGGTCAGTACACCAAAAAGTCTGGTAAATTCAAAGAGTATAACATAAGTAACTTTTTTTTTTTAAGTTGTATGCCCCAAAGCATGACTCAAAAGAAAAGATAGGAGACAACACCTCAAACACAAAAGAGGTCCACCAAGGTTACACAATGCACAGGTTTTCAGACTTTTTCAATATACCAATCAGTTGAGATGATGGCTTTTTTTCCCCTCTTTAAATAACAGTTATGTGGGCTGACTCTCTGAGAACGGACAGGGATATCATGAGGAACCAGGATGACATAAAAAACAGAAGACATTAATAAAAACTTTTTCTTAAAAGTAGTATGCCAGAATTCTGACTCACCAGCTTCCGTTATACCAGGAGAAAATAACTTCTGAATCTCAAAATGTAGGAAGGGAAAGAGGAAAGAAGAAAAAGGAAGGGTGAAAAGTAAGATGATACCTTGGGCATACTGAAAAGGTACAAGTCATTGCAGTATGTACTCATTACATGCAAGGTACCATTAAAGCAGAAAATGGGTCACAATAACAATGCTGTTCAGATTTCAAAAAAGGAATAGGATAGAATTTTCAAATTATAGAAGAGTGAGCTTGACTTAATTCTGGGAAAAATTCTAAAATATATTATTAAAGGAGTAGTCTGTGAAAATTTAGAGGGAAGCAGTACCTCTGGCTTTATCAAGAAGAAATCATACCACAGTAACCTCATTTCCTCTTTCAACAGGCTTATTAGATTGATCCATCAGGAGAATGGAGTAGACAAACGATAACAAGATTTCAGCAAAGTCTTTAGCATAGTATCCAATGCTATATACCAGTTGAAATTATGGAAGTCTTAACTAATACAGTGAGATGAATTCAGAACTGGCTAAATCATAGCACCCAAAGAGGAGTCATTAATGGGTTGAAATCAAGTTGCAGGGAGGTGTGGAATACTCCAGGTAATCTATCCTTCATAACGTGCCGTTTGCAATTTTATCAATTGACTGCATAGCTAGCATGGAAGGTTGAGAAGGGCAGATAGCATAGAAGATAGAGAATTGGCCTTGGAGACAGAAAGATCTGGACTAAAGTCCCATCTCTGACACATACTGGCTGTGAACAAGTCATTTAACCTCTAGATGCAGATCTACATTTGGTAGTGAGGTTCCCCACTGGAGACCCTATACTGACAAAAAGGTCCAGTGGATAAAAGGTAGGTTGTAGGGGTAATTCACAATGGATAACAGTGTCAGAATCCAAAAAGATATTTAAAGCCTATAGAACAGGCTGAATCTAGTCACATGAAATTTAACAGTTCTATATTTGACTTCAATTGTTCTAACTTCCAAGATACATACAGTGCTGATTAAAATGTTTAAGAATACAAGCCATTTCCCAATTGATACATGGTTAAAGGATATAAACTGGTAGTTTTCAAAGGAAAAAAATTCAAGCTCTCAAAAGCCATTTGAAAAAGTGCTACATATCACTAATAATTAAAAGAAATGCAAATTAAAGAGACTCTGAGTTTCCTCTTCACATCTAATTGGAAAAATGACAAAAAAAGAAAAATTACAAAATGTTGGAGAGATCACAGGTAAACAAGGAGTGATGCACTGCTGGTGGAGCTGTGAACTAGTCCAGCCATTATGGAAATCAGTATGGAAGAATGCACCAAAAGTCACTAACCTGTGTACATCCTTTAACCCAGTGATACAGCTGCTAGGCTTATATACCAAAAAAGATTAAAGAAAAAAGGGGTAGGGGAAGGAAACTCTATAAAAATATTTAGAGCAGCTCTTTTTGTACTGGAGAAGTAATGGAGACTAATGGAGTGCTCATAAATTTTGTAACTATTAAGCAAATTGTGGTATATGAAACCTGGGAAGATTTGCATGAACTAATGCAGAAGAAAGTGTGTGGAAATCAGAACAATTTATACAATAGCAACAACTGCTATGTAAAGGATAAACAACTTTGAAAGACTTAAGAACTTTCCTGGCACAGAAGTTAGGGACCCAAGTTGAAGAATGAGATACACAGTTTTGGGCATGGCCAATTTAGGAATTTGTTTTGCCTGATTATGCATATTTGTTCAAGGGTTTTCTTTTTCTTTCTTTGTTTCCTGAGGAAGGGAGGGCATAAGAGGGAAAGAAAATAAATGCTTATTAATTGAAAAAAAATTTTAAGTGGCCTTAAAAAAGAAATCAGTTTCACAAATACAGGACAGGAGAAATATGCATAGACAGAAGTTCAGCTAAAAAATAACTGCAGATTTTAGTGAAGTGTTAGCTTAATATGAGTCAACAGTATGACATGGCAGCCAAAAAAAGCTATTTTAATCTGAGCTGCATTAGAAAAGGCATTGTGTCCAGAACTAGGGAGATGATAGTCTTGATAATCTTGTTGTACTGTGCCCTTATCAGACCACTACTAAAGTACTAAGTCCATTTCTAGGTATCATATTTAGGACACTAACAAACTGGAGAGCCTACACATATAATTTCCTGTCCTCAAAGTAAAATTCAGAAGAACAGGAGCATAGCTATTGAAAAGCAAGGTTTGGATGGGGATCACAATGGGACCAATTGCAACATGTATAACATGCAAATTACCTTTTGCTGATGGCACAGACTAAGAAATCAGAAGTAACATCATGCAAAAAAGGGAAAGGGGCTTCAAATAATCTATATTGACCTGAGAAGTTAACTGAATGGGATAATACAAAATGACAAATATAAACAGAGGCATCATGATAGTATCTTCTGAAATTCAAATGATGCAGCTTCTAGGCTTATAGGAATCTTTCATTTGAATGAAGTATATAGTGTCTACTACTGTCACTTTCAATACTATTCTGTATCAGCTGGGTTAAAAAGGCAATAACAGTGTCATTATGACCCCTTCTACTTTAATTCATCTTAAAGGCTTTCTTTAGTTTTAACATAGAAGATTTAGGTCAAGAACAAAACAGAATTTGCTAGAGTGCTTTCAAATTACCTAAGATTTTGAGAAATGTATATACTAGGAAAAACAGTTTTAAAATTTTTCATTTATGGTCTTTTTAATAATTTTCTCCAAACATGAAGAATATTATTTAAAAAAAAAACAATTACTAAGTCTGAGTTTCAATTACTTGCTTTTTCTGGAGTACCTAGACATTTAAAAAAATGCATATTATAGCCTAATTCTAGGCAATTAATTGTATAATATTCTTCTTGTCCCGAAAATGCCCTTCCAACTTTTTTTTTTCTATTTAGTACTTTATTTTAAAACAGAAACTTGTTTCAAGGTACTGTTGAGTTGTAAAAAAAAATGACACTTAGAGCACACAAATATAATACAGTATTTTTCAGGACCTAGCTACAAAAAGTACATATCACTTATTTGTTTTTCAGTCATTTCAGTTGTGTCCAACTCTCTGTGACCCCATTTGAGGTTTTCTTGGCAAAGATACTGGAGTGTTTTGCCATTTCTTTCTCCAACTCATTTTACAGATGAGGAAACTGAGGCAAACTGGATTAAATGACTTGCCCAGGATCACACAGCTACTAAGTATCTGATTTTGTCTGGACTTGAAAAGCATTTAAGATGGGAAGGTGTGGGGCAGGAGAGTACAAGGTATGTTCAGAGGACAGCAATAGCAGTATAGTAGTAATCCAGTTTCCCTTTGTCAAAGAGCTATAGATGACAGTAAAGTTAATAACATGGTCTCTTAAACTATAAAGATGGGGGAGGGGAGCAGAGAAGGTATTTAAAATTGTAAAGTGTCTTGAATACTAGACAAGAGTCCGAATTTTATTCTGTAGATTTTAACTTCTGAGGAGAGCAGTGACAAGACCAAATCTATGTAAGGAATTTATTAGTTTGGCAGTGCCAGGGCAGGGCTGGGGGTCGGGGTGGAGGGGGTGGGTTTGCAGGAATTATAATTGAAGACAGGAATGAATACTAGTTATAAGGCTATGCTACAATAGTTCAGATAGGTAGTCAAGAGGGTCTATGGTAGAAGGGTAGCAGTGGGAAGGACAGAACAGAAAGATAACTGGCTAAATATATGCGGAGAGGAACAGTGAAGGGTCAAAGATAACACCAAAGTCTCAAACAGGAGAATGGAAAAATAGTGACTGATGCTAAACAGAATTAGTGGTAACAAAAAAAAAAAAACAAACAAAAACCCAGTGAAATTGACTCAATATGTGTCTTAAGTGTGACACAGCAGGAAAAAAAAATACTAATGTGATATTAGGCTGCATTATAAACACACTGTCCAGAACTCAAGAGGTTAACAGTCCCTTTATACTCTGGCCTCACCAGACCACATCTGGAATACTACATTCACCTCTGGTTGCCATATTTTAGGAAGGTAAAGCTAGAACATATTTTAAGAATAACCAGGACACAACTAGGACATAAAACCATGCCATATGAGAGTTGTTGGAAGGAACTGGGGATGTTTAGCCTGGAGGAAAAAAACAAAAACAAAAAATTTAGCCAACCAGACAGCT